CTTGTTGTCACCATTCATCAAGGCCTGTCTGCAGCTGTGTTCTGTACAGATCAGTGCTAAATAACAGAATTTACTACAATTACATTGCATACTAACATTTTCAGATTTCTCCACAGTAGCACACAGCACGTCTGACTAATTGCTACACTTCCCTCACTGACAATTAAGAAACAACGTCTTATTCTCACAGTGGAGCTCTTATTAATTCTTTGTGCCAAATAATAAACACTATCAAAATAATTCATATTAGAAATACATTAGAATAACACAATTATGGCTCCTATTACTTATTTTTATTCTTCCAGCTGTATGTTTTAAGGCAATGAAAAAAAAAACACGTTTCAGCCTTTAGACTGCAGTTGGGGAGCTTTGCTGCTCAAGTTGTTGCTAACAGCTAAACATCCACATCACTATATTCAGCTGCTGGTAAAACACAACTCGGGAGCTCTGCTTGGTCCTCTGGGAGCTGCAGCATTGTTCTGCTCATACTGAAGGCTCACTGTGTCACATTCACAGTGTACTGCTAACCCCACGACCAGCTCACCTGCCTGAGCGCAGACTGCCGCACTTCCTGCTACATTTAGCTCTGCTTTGTCCTGTATAATGTTGATTGAATCCAAAGTGTGACCACACGTCTGACAATGACATCTTTTTTTGTGCATTTCCCCAGCATTTGAATGGTTTTTAACCTCCCTGTCTGGACATGCAGGGTTAATTATGTCGCTTAAAACTGCTTGGTGCAACATTGCTGACTCAGCTTATACACAGAAACCTCTCAACTGGTTGTTGTTGTCTATTCAAAAGTTTAAAACAAAACAGACAAAAATGAATAAATGGTTATCGTTAATGTCACCCACTATTTGTTTTCATTTCATTTGATGTGAGAATAACATAAAAGGTGCCCCTCAAGAAAACACAAGCAGGCAAACTTGCTAGAGACGTGACAGCACACAATACAACATAAACATGACCAAGTATATATAGACCTGTATGGTTGGATTTGGATTCTAAGGGGTAGCCAGCAGCTTGTATGAAGGTGTGAATGTATTGACACATATCAATATGACTAAAATTAGGTTGGTTACAGTCATAATCTTGATTTCGGTTGCTTTTCAATTACAGGTTGTCCGTGGAGTCTTGAGAACTATAATAGGACTTTTAGGCCTTAAAATGTCTGAATATGATTTTTACAGGTCTTAAAAACTGATTGAAGTTAACGTTACTTGTATAAAGTTGCATTTTTCAGTCTCTTTTAAATGTGTATTTGGGTAAGATTTGTATTGATCATGCTGTAACAGCTACAAAACGAAAGTGACACAGAACCAATACTGATTTTCTTTTGTAAGAACTTTTTGCCAGTATGAAGGAGAAATAGGTCTTAAATTGCATTTATCTTAACCTTTAACCTGTTGAAACCTGCAGAAACCCTGAATGAATTGTATATTGTTTTTAATTTGTCTTTTGGTTTTAGTGGTTTTATTGTATTGAAGTGAACGCAGAAATCTTAAGAGAAAGATATCTCAAAACCGACCTTAATCTGTCCTTTAAATGACATGTCATTCTATTCTCTCCCTCTACTGTTCAAGTGCCTTTAGACAAGACTCAAAGCCCCGATGGCTGTTGCACACCTGTGCAACGTGTTGCTGAAAAATAAAGCTAAAAAAACATCAATTGTCAAATGGAAAGTATAGCCTATTACAGGGAGACAGACATGTCATAATGATAATAATGATAATAATCATGATGACATGAGCCGAGACACGGGGAGAAAAGAGCAGAATAAGGCCAAAAAGGGATAAGGAGATTACTGTAGTCTGACTGTGGTGGCTGTTTGTGTGTTTGTGCGCTGGTGAGGGAGAGAGAGGTAGAGATAGAAGAGAAGAGAGCGAGAGAGACAGAGGGAGGGAGGGAGGGAGTGGTTTGGACACTCCAATTTAGTTAATTTGGTGTCTTGTCTAAAAGCAGCCAGTCTGAAACACAGTGAATCACTGAGTCTGCAGAGTCTGACTCAAAACCACCTGCCCGGTCTGTTGTTTGGTTGTTGTTGACGTGACAGCGGGTACAAGTTAGTGGTTGGACACACAGGTTCTCTGTGTCCACTATTCAATTAAAGTTTACCAGAATCTGTCCCGCCGTGAGATCTTAAATAGTTGAGATCAAAAATGATGGCAATTACAGGACTGTGTTCTGGTAAAACTATAAAAAAAAATCTTATGACCCAATGGGAGGAACAGAAATGAAACTGTTAAGCATGGTATTTGGGATGCAAGTAAATATAACATCAATATCAACATTATTCTCCAAAACAACCAGAGTTACACAAACCAGATGCTGTCACGTTACTTGTGGACATTTTGAAAACAGTCATAAACTTTGGTGGAAAACATGACCCTGTGCAGTTTTCGAAAGACATTCATTCGTCATCACACAGTCTGACCTGCCTAAAATATATATATATATATGCAATAATACAATAATACACGTACAGTCATAATTCGTATTTGTCATGCTTATATTTCTAATTACCTGTCCGTCAAACCATCATTCATCACATAGCTAAACTGCGCCTCCCACAAAGCTGCTGCTTCTGTCCAGCCAAAGATTTGCAATACAAATGTTATAGTTATTGCATTAATAAAAGTAAGGAAATGTATTCAGAAGTTGGTGCTTTGTTTTGTTCTTTTACATTTGGCACAGTATTGCCAATGGGTTTTAAAAGGCCCCCAGCCATTAACTGATGCTATTTGGGGGGCCTTGCACTAAAAAGGTTTGGGAAGCCCTAACATAGAGCATGAATAAGGAGATGGAGTGATGTTAGCTGAAGCGTAGCCCTCGATTAAACACTGACACAGACCTGCAGCTTGTTATGCATCCATGACACAGACAGGGAGCAGAGGAGAGAGATGGACAGATACATTGATGTAACCTGCTTTTTTTTTAAATAAAATAAAATGCCGACTTCAGACCCGGCTTGCTATCCAAAGGTTGATACCCAGAAAAGTCCCGCACACAGCAAAATAAGAAAATACAGCTGGAGGGTCCCTGCAGACACAGACACCACCACGTACTTGTAGTGGGTCATAAATGATTATTTAGGGCGCCCGGTTAGCTCAGTGGGTAGAGCTGGCAACCCATGTACTGAGGCTGAGTCCTTGCTGCAGCGGCCCAGGGTTCGAATCCGACCTGCGGCTGCCCCCCTATGCCCCGTGCCTTCCCTGTCTCTCTTCATCTCTATCATATAAAGGCAAAAACCTAAAAATAACTAAAAAAACATTATTATTTTATTATTTAGAGGAATGATATTTTATATGAGTTTCACATTGTTTGTTAGGAAAATCCTGCATAGTACGCCTTTAAACCATGACAGTGTGACGGTGAGCCATCATGCACAATACCAGCACCCTGAAACCTTGGAACTAATACATTTTATTATATACAACTGTGATGTGTCAAAATGTCAGAAACAGTCACTCATGTTATCCCCTGTAGTGTGTCGTAGTGGAAGATAATCGACACAGTATCTGGGGCCTTGTTACGTCCTGACATGTCAGAATTGTTTTGTCTTCTTACTACTAGTTTGACAGCTTTACAACACAATGTGTTCTGTGAGGTTGACCAATATCAGCTCAGAACGCTCCTTAACTGTAGAGGAGGAATGATGTATTTCATTTCAGTGAACCTGTAACCATGACAGACGGCAAGCTATGATTGGTCGGCATCCAATGTGAAGCTTTTTGTGCCTCTTGGCCAAGTCACAGTGAAAATACATGACTCTGCGATAGACTAATCTGACACTGTGTCGAATCTCAAAAGACAGAAATATGATGTTTGATTCCAGCATTACAAGGACTTGAGTACAGTGTTTGGCAGTCAGCTATAGTGGTATGTACAGCAAACACACAGATCATTGTCAGACTTGGCAGGCAAAAATTGTGTCAATTCAGCTACACTTTGTAGCTCATATCAATCATTTATTGATATTGAGTCTTTTTTGACCTTTTGTTTTATTCGCTGAAGGACAGAAACCGCCTCAACGGCTCAACATCTGATCGAACAATATTGGGGTGAAACAGATAAGATAATTGATGCGCTCGAGCACATCAGCAAGTCAATTCTGCTTGTAGGGAAAATAAACAAGTTTTGCTGATGCTATCATGCTGACCTTTATGTCACTAAAATTCAACTTGGATCCTTTTTCATTAGTTGCTCACTCACTGTCATAGATTGTTTACAGTACGGGGTGGTGGGTAGTGAAGTTAACTTTTTCTGAGGGGGTACATGCCAGAAAAAAGTTTGAGAACCACTGGTTAAATAAGTGTGTTTGTATAGCTTATAGCATTTAATTGATTTAGCTGTGCCAAATATTGACATATTGTGTGATTTCACTAAGTGTGTTTTGTTTTGTAATGCTGTCAAAGCTGAACATCTTAAACAACTATTGTTTACTGTTTTTTGGGTTAAACTTTCTGACTAAAAGCCAGATAGAAGCCATCATAACTAAGACTATATATCAGACAAACTTTAGCCATAGAGTACAATTACTGAAGACAAAATATGTTTTAAAAAAACAAATTGGTATGCAAAGAGGATGACATTTTGTGTGTCAGCAGCTCCAGAGTGCATTTATGTAGCTGTAGTAGAGAATCTGCATTGTAGTATTGATGGATAAAATGACTCATAAGAAGCAATATGAGATTAAACTTGTAATCTATATGCATTAGAAGAGTGAAAGCCTGGTTACACAAACTGAAATATCACATTTTAATTAACATAAAATTGAAGTGTCCTTGGAAAACAACAGAGAATCCAGCAGCTTTTGGAAACTGCTGCTGTCTCACTGCTCCATCTGCTGGTCAGAGCACCACAGTATAGGGCTTTGCTGCACAAAACATAGGATTTTACATTCACATACTCCATCCTCACATACTCCATCCTCCATCCACAATAAGGTCCATAAAGACAAACAGTGTTCACTAATCTAACAACTTATCTTCTTGCAGTCACAGATGAGGATACGGTCAAGAGGTACTATGCCAAGTTTGAGGAGAAATTCTTCCAGACATGTGAGAAAGAACTGGCCAAGATCAACACCTTCTACTCTGGTAATGACAACAACTAAAAGCACTGCTGCTCATACGTTAGAGCTAGATATTACTCATGTATATGTAGTTCAGACGGTGTGTTGTGCTTATTGTCCTGCAGTGGCTTTCTATCTTTTACAATCATCTTCATCTCCATCCCTCTCCTCCCTCCAGAAAAGCTCGCCGAGGCTCAGCGGCGATTCGCCACGCTGCAGAATGAGCTGCAGTCATCTTTGGACGCCCAGAGGGAGAGCTGGGCTAATGGGCGGGGCCTGAGGAGGAGGAAGACGGTGTTCGCCCTGTCGCAGCAGGAGCGATGCAAACACAGAAACATAAAGGACCTGCAGCTGGCCTTCTCCGAGTTCTACCTCAGCCTCATACTGCTGCAGAACTATCAGGTGCAGTAGACATGCAAACAAAGCTCTTGTGACAAATTTCCACAGACTCCACATGAAGACCATTTATTATTTTATCTGTCAGGGACAAAGCCCATTGATTAATAAGTTATTTTGCAGTACTCACAGGTTGACACATACAGCTGTTATAACATATAAAAAGTTTATCTGGACTATTAACTAAACTAAGGTTTAGAGAAAGAGTTTTAGGGGAGATAAGAACTAATAACTAGACACAGTGTTTTGACCGATCTCGCAATGTTAAGAGTGTTTAAAGTGAAAAATAATTTGTGTTACTGTGATCCAGAATGTAATTGGTTCTTCCATGGTCCATGTTATACCCCTCCACTAAAATCAGACCAGTAGTTTTTACATAATCCACCAAATGTATAACCTCTTTGGCTACTATTGATGTGAAACGAATAACAAAACTCATTGCAAAAGTGGAAAGAAAACAATAAAGACTAACTTGAATTTGACCATCAACTCTAGAGACCACCACTGGTACTGCAGTGAAAAAGAATTGCTGTGGTTAGAACAGCCAAGCTCGCTATGAAAGCGGGCTTATGTGGAGTGTCCCATAAACGCTGACCCTCTACCTGTAATGAACCTGAGACACTTCATCATGAACCCTGCATCATTAACCAATTAGGACTAAACCTGGGGTTAAATGAGTCAATACTAGACCTACCAATAAAGTATATGACCATTTGAGAGCAAGTGCTGTCCTGTGAAGAAAATGTCCTGGAAAGGTCCTGGAAGGTGGAGGTCCTATGATTTATTAAAAAGAGTGGGATCCCTGTGTTTTTGTATTACCTCAACTTTTTGCTACAGTCTCTCTGATATACCGCAAAAAAGCTCTGATGAACCCACTGCACACTACCTGCCCAGCACCAAAACACAAAGCTAGAGACTAGCTGGTAAACGTAGTGGAGCGTTTAGAGCACTAGAGCCAACAGAGAGTGAATACTGGACACAAACACCACGCTAAATGAATGATGATGTCGCTCTGTGTCTGCTGGTGTGTAAACAGGCAACTGTTGGCTGTAGAAACGTTATATATCAGATGTTGTGTTTACAGCTTATTCCCTAGTGGCAAAAACAAATCAATTAAAACAGCTTTGAAAAATTGGTAAAATAATACTCAATAGTATGTGCTTATGGTTCCCCACTTTTCAGTCAGTGCAGAAATGGGTTATACTGCACATTCAGTGTGTGTTTCTTCTGTTTCACTAAACACAGCTGTACCACACACAGCGGTTTGTCCTCTAGAGCTCATTTATAGTTTCACATCTTTAATCAGCAGCTGCTTTTGTTAGCTTTGATTCTTCTTTCATTAAATGCCTCTCTCTCCCTCTCTCCCTCTCTGTAGAACCTGAACTTCACAGGTTTCAGGAAGATCCTGAAGAAGCATGATAAGATTTTGGAGACGTCAAGGGGGGCCGACTGGAGGGTGGCCCACGTTGAAGTGGCTCCATTTTACACATGCAAGAAGATCACGCAGCTCATCTCTGAGACCGAGGTGCACACACCTACATACATTCATGTCAACACACTCCAGTGCACACATGCCTCATTAGCTCTGCTGTAGTTAAACCTACTGCAAGAAGTTTTTAAAAGGTTATGAAAATACTGATGCCTGTATATGATCTACATAAACAAACAGAACCATCAGAGAGAAGATTGCCTATTTCTAAATAGTTCTTCTAAATAGAGGGTCGGATTCCTCTTGAAATCAATAAACAAGGTGGTAGAAACACTACTGCTTTTATCAGCGCCAGAATCAACACACAATAAAAGCTCCCGTAGGGGCTTTAAGAACAATATTGCTAAACCAGGTTGTACAAGGTCCAGATGGTCAATATTATATTTCAAAAGTATCATCTGTATTATCTGTAACCCTCAAAATTGTCTCTCTGTCTTTCAGGCGTTGGTCACAACAGAGCTGGAAGGTGGTGACAGACAGAGGGCCATGAAGAGGCTGAGAGTACCTCCCCTGGGAGCTGCACAGGTCAGACACACACACACACACACACACACACACACACACACACACACACACACACACACACACACACACACACAGTATTAACTCATAGATACTGTTTATCCCTAGCTGTCACTCAAACTACTTTTGTGAAAGCTCAGGAGACCAAAATTATTGTCATGATTTATGAATGATTGACCCAGGCTTGGGTTAGTTTGGATTTCTGGGGGGGATAAATGTGATCATTGTGAATTTTGCTGCCAGGTTAAGATGGCCGGTGAAGTTCTACCAACAACAATCTCACTCCCTCTCCTTGTTTCCTTTCTTTCTTTCTTAGTCTTAAAAAGTCTAAAATCCAATAATCAGCTTTAAAATGTCTTAAATTACAGCTCATAAAAATGTATTAGATTAATAAAGTTAATGTTTTTGGGAAATATTTGTATTGATCATGCTGCAACAGCTACCAAACGAAAGCAACATGTAACCAAGACCAATTTCCTTCATATCCTTCCTACTATTTTGCCAGGATGGATATATAATGCTTTTAAAAAGTCTTAAATGTAACCTGTTGAAACCTGTGAAAAAGGATTAAGTCTATAATATAACAATATACTGTAAATGATACCGTATAATGATAAGAGGAGAGGAGTACAGCAGTAATTCATCCACACAAAGACCAAAGTGTTTACACACTGACAGCTTGATGTTATTTTTTTGATCATGTGTGACAAGTGCAGTTTTAAATTCATTATTAGTTTGATAGTTCACTTATTGATTTGTGTACTGAACAACAAACTCGGCGAGCCATCTTAATCCTAAATATGGCCCAGTTACTCCTTATTACTTCTGTTATTGTTTGCCACGTCCTGCTCTGAGATGCTGACTATTCCTCTGTCTGCCTGCAGCCTGCTCCTGCTTGGACCACCTTTAGAGTCGGGCTTTATTGTGGAGTATTCCTTGTCTTAATAGTGACTGTGGTCATTACAGGTAACACACACACATACACACACACACAGTCCTAAAACCGAAGTTGTGCATATTGAATATTGTAAGGTTTTAAAAACTTTTAATCATCTAGTGGCTCTGTTTTTACTTCCTGGAATATGACCGGTCAGAGTGTCTGGGCCAGAAATATACTTGGCTGGTCACGGCAGAACACACCATACTTTAGTTTCAGGAAGAAAAAACTGAATCACTGCAGCAAAAATAGGAATGGAGTGTATTTTTCATAACTAACTAACGTACTACTACACGTTCTACTAACGTAGAATGAAGAACTTAGGCGTTGGTTTTTTTTTACTCTCTGCTTATTACTTTACATTTGTTTCATTTGTGCAAATAAATAAAAGTATATTTCCTCTACAGTGTGCAAAAGCTAAATGTGATGTGGAAACAGCCTAGCCTGGTTTAACATGCACTCACAGGCACAGAATTAATCGATAATTTTGAAAAAAGTAGTGTTGAAAATGCTGAAACATTTATTGACTGGTATTTTTACAATAGTGCTTCAGACAAACAGATTTCTGTTTGTAAAGATGTGTTTCCTGATATAGAAAATGAAACAGGCTGCCTTGTAAAGTAGTTTATGCTGAATGATGTGCTGTTGGTTGTGTCTCTCTGTCCATACTTTCTTTCCCTTTCTATCTGTCTCTAGGAGCTGTGGTGATCCGTAGTACTGATGTTTGGCCTATGGTCAGGATCTACAGAGGAGGCTTCCTGTTAATAGAATTCCTCTTCCTGTTAGGTACACATACACACATGCTACTAATTTGGGAGTTAAGTTTCTGTTTGTTCACTTCAGGAGAATGAAGTTAAGAAAACAAGCCTAGCAAATGAAAAAACATCTGCAGCTGCCATGTTAATATCTGTCAGTCTTCAAAATGATCACACCAGCATCTGACTGCCTGTTCATTTATCCTTTTTTATCTTCCAGGCATCAACACGTACGGCTGGAGGCAGGCAGGAGTGAACCATGTACTCATATTTGAACTCAACCCCAGAAACAACCTGTCCCACCAACATCTGTTTGAGGTCTGAGCACACACACACACACACACACGCACACACGCACACACAAACACGCTGTCTAACAATCACAAGAGATGGCTCAAGACCCTCAGGTCAAAATGAGATCTCACTGTCACTTACCTTATTATTGGAGTTAATATGCTGCATAGTGATTTGTCTTTCAGGATTTCACAGTTGATGAATATTGTGTGTCTTGTGTCTTGTGTGTGTGTGCAGATTGCAGGTCTGTTGGGGGTGCTGTGGTGTGTCAGCCTGCTGTCCTGTCTCTTCAGTGATAGCATCCTGGTGCCAATGCAGGCTAACCCTCTGGCTCTCTACGGCCTCTTTTTCCTCTTCCTCATCAACCCCTTCAAGACCTGCTACTACAAGTCACGCTTCTGGCTGCTCAAACTATTGGTATCTGAGTGATGATTAAAGTTTATACGTTCTTTCCTTTTGTATATCTATAAAGTCACCACCCTTCATCTTTTACTGACTGTATGGTATATTTGATGCAGTAAACTATGCCCCGTGTAATTCCTAAAGATGGCTTGTAACTGTTTGAACAGTCCACTATTTAGCTTAGGACTGCAACTAACTTAAAGCTGCAGTAGGTAACTTTTATTAAATGTTTTGTCATGTTTGCTGGAACTTTCACTACATCCTGACAGTAGTATATGAGCCAGATAATCAGTTGTTTTCATTCAGGCCCGGTGGATTCTCGCAAATCCCAGTAGGAGCACTAAGAGGAGCTCAGAGGAACCTGATTTTTTCACAATTATCTTTCTCATGTACTACTGTCACAAAATATCTCTTCATTATTTTCGTATAGATTAAACTGACTATTAGTTTGCAATCATTTGACATACCTCAGAGATCAAGGCAACATCTTTCTATTGATTATTAGATGTCCAAAACCTAAACATATTAGATTTACAATAATATGAAACAGAGTAAAGTAGCACATTCTCAAGCTCAAACCACTGAACAAATTATTTAAACCAGTGTTTCGGCTCTCCAAATACCACCATTATGACCGAGGTTAAAATACAGCAGCATAGGCCGACCCTATTCAGCTATAGAGAGTTCACACAGGAGGCAGGTTTGTTCCTAAAAGAAGATTACTGTTGACTGTTGTTGAATCCTGAATGAAACCGGTTCAAGAACCAGAGCTAGTTTGGTGGGAAAGGGGTCCTCCTGGTCCACACTTCTCTTCCCAAGAGTTCCTGTTTGGAGCCATGATTGCAGAGTTTTTGAAACCGTTCATTTTACCTCCGTCAGCTCCTAACTAATCATGGATGTGTGAGTGCGCTACATTCATGTTCACGACTAGCACATATTGAAACTAAATATTACAAAAAAGGTAAAACTTATGTTAGTACTATTAGTTGTAGTATTTATTAAGTATTATATGTTTTTAAATGTATTTATTTAATTTTTGAAATTGATTCCTTGATTGATACCACTAGAGGCATTTCCCATACCATAGTTTGAGAACCAGTAACTTAAACAACTCTGTTGATGAGTGAATGAAATAATTAATTTTTGGTTTAATCTCCACATATGTATGAATGATGACATAAAGAGGCAGTAGTAAGAGATCGTTGAGAGAGGTTTGAATGCCCAAAATAAATGCCAAATACAAATGGACTCCCTCTTAAATGAATGAGTGAATGTAGAACAGTGACTGATCATACTAATGATTGCTCAAGATCCTGACACTATCTCTGACACTGTCCTCTCTGTCCCTTTCTTTCTCAGTTTCGAGTGGTGACAGCTCCGTTTCATCGCGTTGGCTTTGCAGACTTCTGGCTGGCTGACCAGTTGAACTCTCTGGTGGTGGTTCTGATGGATCTGGAGTACATGATCTGTTTCTACAGTTTTGAACTGGACTGGAAAAAACACGATGGACTCATCAGCAGTTCAGGTGAGACTTGAACAATTAAAGACAACTTCATGTCACCAAGACTCTGATCCAGTGATGAGAGACCAACACCTCATTGTGTGTGTATGTCCTTCTCTACAGGTAAAGATGTGTGTAACTCCTACTCCTACGGCGTCCGTGCAGTGATCCAGTGTCTTCCAGCTTGGTTCCGATTCATCCAGTGTCTGCGTCGTTACCGCGACACCAAACGGGCCTTCCCTCACCTGGTTAATGCTGGGAAATACTCCACTTCCTTCTTTGTTGTCACCTTCGCTGCCCTATACAGCACACATAAAGGTATCCATTACATAGCGCACCAGGACTTTATATGAAATGCACCTTTATCAGGGACAAGCCTTTATTTTTATTTATTTTAGTATATAGTATATGTATAGTTTTCCGTAAACGGCTGTGGCTCAGAGGCAGAGCGGGTCGTCCACAATCGGAAGGTTGTTGGTTTGATCCCCGGCTCCTCCTGCCACATGTTGAAGTTTCCTTGATTGTATGAATGAGTTAGTTTCCGTTTGATGGGCTTTACCATTACTGTGTGAAGGGTCAAATGTGGTACGTAGTGTAAAAGCGCTTTGAGTGGTCGGAAGACTAGAAAGGAGCTATACAAGTACAGGTCCATTTACCATTTACCATTTACCATAATTTAGTAAGATGTGTCCCTGTTGTTTAATCTTCTCTTGTTTTACTGTCTTCATTTCCTCCCTGTATCTGTGTTGTCTTGATACTTTCTGGTTTTTGTACAATTTCATCAATAACAGAGTCATGCCATACTCCCCACCCTGACAATACTAGAAACAAGATTCACTTTCACAACTGGAAAAAGCATTTTATTCAGAAACAATTATCCCAGTCATTAAATTTTGCTGTGCCTTCATTTGGCATTCAGCTATTCTGCCTTATAAAGGCAAACAGCAGTAGGGTTTAAGGCTACTTACCAGTGTGTAAGTGCTGTAAGTGTTATATAAAACATAAATGTCATGCCTTAAAGGGACATTGTGTAGGAATTTCTCCCATCTAGCAGTGAAATTGTATTTTGCATTCAAACGAATAGTTCTCTCTAGTGCCTCGCGTTTTCAAATGCGTATTGCAACTACGGTAGGCGTTATTGTCTGCGTTATATTTTTAATATGGAAATCATTAGCTGGTTTCAAAGTTTGACCAAATGTTTAGTGACTGCTTTTTGGATTTATAGGGCAGAATGTTCAGTTAAATGAATCACTTACTGCACAGATATTTCATATTAAAAGCTACACATGGTAAATGGACCTGTACTTGTATAGTGCCTTTCTAGTCTTCTGACCACTCAAAGCGCTTTTTACACTACGTGCCACATTCACCCTTTCACACACATTCACTCAGTGATGGTAAAGCCCATCAAACAGAAACTAACTCGTTTATACACATTCATAACCAACCTCCTTGGCCTCTCCTCTCACCACACCCCCATCACACCTCTTCCACACACCATGGATTGTTGTTCTTGTTTACTCATGCTGGTCATTATTTGAATACCAGCTTTTATATAAGAATTGATGGTACCTTACAGCTTTTACTCTGTCAATAATATTCTGTTCTGTGCCTGTAATTTAATTTGTCCCTCTTCTAGCTCCTTAAACGTGTTCACTGTCACTCCTACACTATCTACAGTCAACAAATCTTTATGACAGCTGAGTAGAAGTTCTTAATCCTCAGACAATGAGAAATGACACAACAGACTGACATCAATGTTGTGGTTCCTCAAAGAAAAGGCTCTTTTCCTGTGAGGCTTCCGTGCTTCTGTTTGGTCACTGTATATTTAGTGTAAAGCAGCGTTTTACTTGTGTATCAGATCACCCCACCCACGTTTCTGCCCATCAACCTGTTGTTACTGGCAGGTTGATGGGCAGAAAGAGTTGATTTTATGTGGTTTTATCACACTATGTAATCAGACTCTTGTACGTAGAAGTTAAAGGTGTCTTGAAATAACTTTGGGATGGGTCTTCCACATAGTTTGCTTCTCTATAAAGGTGTCTGAGTTATTGGAAAACAAATAGGCAAACGTCTTTGGTTGACGTAACGTAAGCCTGCTGTCATACCAGCTGTCTAACCTCACACCCATCTCTCTCTTTCCTCCTCAGCGGAAGACCATGCTGACACTCAGATCTTTTTCTACTTGTATATCGGCTGTTTGGTGGTCAGCTCATGTTACACACTGGTCTGGGATCTGAAGATGGACTGGGGCCTATTTGACCGCAACGCAGGAGAGAATACCTTTCTGAGGGAGGAGATAGTCTACCCACATAAGGTATTCCTCCATGCAGGAGGCTGGAGGAGAATGGCTCATTTACTAGTTTGATAAACTGTCATGTGAAGATGTGTTGACAGCTGTTTTGTTCTTCCTGTTCTCCGTCTCTCCTTCTAGGCCTATTACTACAGTGCCATAGTGGAGGATGTGCTGTTGCGATTTTCATGGACTCTGACCGTCTCCCTCAGCACAGTCTCCGGGTTGCACGGCATCTCTGACATACTGGCGACTATACTGGCCCCAATGGAGGTCTTTAGGTGCATACCGTCACTCTGTTTTCTGACTTTTCTCTTTTTTTTATAATTTCCTTTCTTTTTGTTTTACTGCCATTGTTTAGATTTTGTTTTGATAATGAGATATAAATGTGAGAAATATATTCTGTTAAACACAGCTGTAGTCCTGGATCTGGGAGGGACAAGAGTGAATAAACAAAAGAGAAAACAGAAAGTAGATAAGATTTGTTGTTGTTGTTGTTGGCGCCCCATATATCATGGCAGCAACGGCCATGGGTTCAAGTCCAACCTGTGGCCCTTTGCTGCGTATCATCCCGTCTCTCTCCCTTTTCTGCCATTTTAGCAGCTTAAAGCATATTTTGATTATCATCGTGATAATATCCCAATTCTCTTGACCAGGATAATCTTGACATGAACTTTTCATATCGTCACTACCATGACGTCACCCACCATGAAGAGTTCCATTTTGAAGCCTTGAGTTTGGCATTATGGCCGTCACCAAGTTGTTTTTTGCAGCCTGCAGTGGTGACGTACTGTGAGTTGAGCTGCTCTCATTGGCTGTGTTTAGTTTCAACTTGTCCCTAGCAGGAAACAATGGCAGCTTGCCTTGTCACAAATGTCTTACAGATAAGCAGTACACAGTGTTTCCCATTAATTACCTAGACTTTGGCGGCCTGCCACAGTGTCATTTTTCAGATTTTGTGTTGTTGCTTCAGCAAAGCATCCCTCACGACTATTGAACTACCTCCTATCGCTCTACCCTCCTGTACTGTCTACTGACAATTACACATGCTCTTGACAGAGAGAGATAGAGAGATATAGAGATATATAGAGAGAGACACAATACAGGCAGCTAGAAACAGAAAGAAGTGGGGCAGGGCATCTGTGTGTGTGCGCTAGACACAGATCAGTGTGATAAGTGTCTGAAGCCTACAATAAATAATTTGTGACTCCTGATACAGTATGTGATGTCCACTGGCTGACATGAGGATGTGGACTATTATCAGTATGAGTGTGTGAAGTACAGTAAGTCAAATTGGCCACTGACAGTATGCGTTTGTCCTTTCCAGGCGTTTTGTGTGGAACTTCTTCCGGTTGGAGAACGAGCACCTGAATAACTGTGGTGAGTTCAGGGCCGTGCGAGACATCAGTGTGGCTCCGCTCAACGCTGACGACCAGACCCTGCTGGAGCAGATGATGGACCAGGAGGACGGAGTCAGGAACCGACAGGGCAAGAAGAGCTGGAAGAGGAGCTACAGCATGAGTCTACGCCGGCCACGACTGGCCTCACAGTGAGTCTTAACGATAACAAGAACAACAGATACAAACGTGATATGTGAACAGGGGAAGGTATTGAGTTACTGCTGACTGGGCTTCAAAGCTACAAATTGACAACAAAGTTAAAGATTCTTAATACAAGTACAAGCATTACAATTTGGTTTGTGGAGTTGGAAAGAAACAGGTATTTACCAGGCAGGAAGGGTCTAACAGAAGACACTACCAAGTTGCCTTCTGGGAAGTGTAGGATCAGGTGTTGGAGCTTGACTCATAGAAGAGACTAAAAGTCTAAAATATATCTCGATCTCTGCTGCTTCCATTTTAACTTTATGGAAGGTCGCTTTTAATGACGGAGCAGGAAATATGTCTTTTGACTGTAGTCCTAGCACTAATGTTCTCTCACTGACCTAGTCAACAAATTACTATATATGATAATGATTTCAATATTTGTTACAATTGACTGATGTATTGAATTATTGCTGTTTTTTCCATGGAGGGAGAGCAGCACCAAAATTAATATTATTTATAAGTTTTTATTTATTTATTTAGTTATTAATGCCAATGAAGAAATGTATACGTCCCTACTACGGAGCAGTTAAAAAAAAAAAAAGTCTTTATTGATTTAAGATGATAAAAGAAATTTAAAGAGAAATCCTAACAATTTTTTTCTGCTGTATATGGGTATTGACTAGTTTCTAAATCGGGACATTTTAGTGCAAAGTATTTGAATTCTACTGCAAAAATGCTATTGCAATAGAATTTTGCTACCAACCTACCCCTGCTTCTATAAAACCAACATTATTTAGGGACTAAACTGTAAAATCAGCCTTAACTTGACATGGATTTTTTTTTTTTACTACACAATAAAGCCTACCTTGAACACATAGGTAGGCTATCAACACGCAACTATAGTACGTCTTAATCCAGGTATACCCACTGTTGGTAAAGACACACAAAACTAAGTTACTAACTAACGAAAACTAACTAACTTACAACCCTGTCTTCCTTTTCCCCACTTTAGGTCCAAGACCCGTGACACCAAGGTTTTGATAGAGGACACCGATGATGACTCCTGACATCAGGCCACGCCCCTCGCCTGGGTCCAGAATTTATTCAAAGGAGGAAACTCCACCTCCTAACCGAGGAATTACCCAGCGAGTTGGGCGTTGAACACTCAACCGAGGACTAGTTTTAAACTCTCATGCCTACGTATTCCTTTCTCCAATGCATGAGCCTCTGCTCGGGTTCAGAACTATTTCAAAAGGAGGAACTTTCACCTCTTGAACAAACAACCCAGCAGCACGGCCAGCAAACTCATACTCCTACCTTCAATAATAAATGGGGTGGGCTAATCACTGAAACTCTACCTTACCCAAGCATTGGGTGAAAAACCTCCCTGCCATTCTCAGCCACCCACAGGTGGACTCTCTAACTACACCCACTCTTCAGCCATTGCTTGGGCTCTCCTCAAAGCCTCAGCCTAGCATGAACAACGCAGCTAAACGGAAACGCAAGCCGATCACCCTGACAGGAAGTGTCCTGCTCCCTCTCGGTGCCACACAGCTCCCGAAAAAGGGAGAGGCCGACAACTTCAAGCCTACTGCTGATGAGGACCAAAAGGTTTTCTCCCTGCCTTTAGCTATTAGTCTCCACCTACACTCCCAGCATCCAAGTAATGCTTTGACAAAAGCCTTGAATAAATGATGCACCATTCACACCTCAACAGATCTCCAGTCAACCTGTAATTTGGACCTCAGAATGAACCTAAAGCCCCTTCTGTCTAATTAGAAAATGAGAAGGGTTGAAATGTGTCCTCTTCCTTTTTGGCGACTTTTAAAGGCCTTGTGACCTTCTCTCTGACCCTTGCCGTTTTACACCGGCCTACAGACTATGCTGATGAACATTTGGTAACGGCAATCAGTCATCAGCTTAACTCCCCCCGCTCTTCAGCTTGCCCCTTCAAATCATCACAGAGCTGCCTACCTGCACCTTACACGCTTTAGAAACACACACACAGAAACACGCACTTTGTAGGAAGAGTGAACTGGGGTGGAATGCCCATTTTGTGTGCTCGCACACACAAACAATTATTTGATATGTTTTATTGTTAATTGATGCGGAACCATTCTTTTTTTTTTTTTTTTGGAAACCCTGGGAAGAAAACACACACATACATAGACTAGCAATTATTTGTAACTGTGGTTGTAAATATGAGATGGACCAAAGCAGGAGGTGGTGGGAAAATATTCGGAAAATATCAAATACTCCTTACAAAAAAACAGAAAACGTGCTGAGTTCAGACTGTATGGAACAGCAGCTGGAATGACTGTTCAGCCATGGAGCTGAGAAGGAAATTTTACTTTGTGTTTCCGGGAAAAGATGAAGACCATCTTAATCATCCTGTGGGATCTCCCAGTCATCCCATGTGGAAATCTCCTCCATCTGGAAATTATTTTGCTGAATGTATACCAGCTTATTTATGTATCTATAAATGGGAGACATGTCTAAATACCACCGCTGAACCCATTTAGGCAATCAGTTTTGGAAACTTTAGGATAAGTCCCATGGAATCTTTTATTTCTCCCCTTAAGTATTGAAAAAAGACTAATTAAGAACGTTTGGATTATGAAACAGCCATACTCGTCTTTTAAACTGGTTCATTGAAATGTGACGATGATGAAAAGGGGGGAGGTCACCTGTCTGTCACACACCGGTCCAAACTGTCACAATCCAAGGGATGGTGTAGTTCAACTTAAACCTGAATGAAGTGGCCCTTCCAGCTGGTTTGGTGTTGAATGATCTCTGTGGGAGTGAATCTGATTGGCTGTGTTTATACATGCTGGTGTAGCTCAGGTTCCATAAACAAACTGGTTTGGTTTCAACATTTTAATGGAAAAGGTTGGTTTAAAGAAATAACCTGTTTGTTTCAAGACTGTCATTTTAATATATTTTCATGTTCAGTATGTAATTCAACACATTTTGAGAGTCTACCGTAAATGTTCAAATAGAAGCTTGGGCCGTTATTACCTCAATGGCAGAGAGAAGCAGATCTTTAGAACGGGCTTATATTAGAGAAAGTCTTTTATTCCTGATTTTCCCTGACTCCCAGTTAACTTAGCCTGTAGTCTACTACACACTTGGAAGCTATATGGTATTCAGTTGGTTGCCATCTGCAACTTTAGTGCTACATCCTACACACTGGACCTTCAATGCAAACTCAAACTTCCTCCACTTTCACCTTTTTGTCTTGATGTCTACAGCACTAATCCCATCAATGCAACGACTTCCCAACTGTCAGAAGTGTTTCTTTTCATTGACTGTAGCCTAATATTGGTCAGGAAAAACTGAAACTTTTATGTGTTTATGGTGGCCATGCCTCTGCCATTATATGATTTTAAGAGAATTTACAGTCATTTTCTTTAACAGCTGTTAAAGGGGCCTGGCTGTGGGTTTTTTTTCCATAGTTTGACAAAGTCTCAATTAGTAAAAGAGCTACAAAATGAAACCATCTTCTGTTGTTTAGTGAAGACAGGTAGTTGTGATTACACTGGAGAAAATGTTTTTCTAAATGTTTCTAATAGAGCAAAGATCTTAATTGTGTTACTTTTTTCACATTCCCAAAGTGGTTGACACACATTGGTTGTTTAGTTGAGGAGGTTCTGTTTAGGTTTTATTTTCTTCTACATTGCTTGTTAGTAGCTTGTGGATGCAATTTGGAGTGACTGACTTCTGAAATCCTTCAGGAAACCCTGATAGAAGTCAGTTACCAGTGAGCAATAAGTCTCTTAAGGATTATGTGCACTTTAATGCCAGATGGTTTTTTATTTTATTTTTATTTTTATTTTTCCTCAGACTTGATGGAGGTACATAGCAGTTTTAGTTTTCATCATCTTGTTTTACTGGTTATTCCTGGAGCTATCAACTATTTGTTGGAGTCACTTTCATCTGGGCTTCCAACATGAGAAAGTCCACTATTCAAATGTCAGGCAAAGCCGAGTGGAAAGAATATATAATGTTGCATGCAATAGTACATTAGAAGCAATATTTGTTATTTCTAAAGGTCTTACTACTTTCTGATGGAGGGCAGATGGGCAAAGCAAGCTCAGTGGTAACACTGATGTCCAGTGCGAGCTGTGAGGAACTCTGTATATACGTAGAGCTTCTGACAGGATGCTGGTGGGTTGAGGCAGCACATCTTCCACTGCTTGCATTTCCACCTGTTTGACAGTAGGAATAATCACATTTCCTGGTGGTTATGTTGGAATCTATAAGATTCAAACACAGCAGTCAGTGAGTTTTGTTTTTCACCCCTTCTTTTTTTTTTTTTACAATCTTTTTTTCTTTATGGCATATTTTTATCTTAATAATCTGCTCTATCATTCCTGAAAACCTCCTGTGTAACCCGTAGTTGCATAAAGCTTAGCTTCTTTTGTTCTCTCTCCCCACCCCAAACCTCATGGGTAACCGTAGTTCAAACCAGCAGCTCTAAGACCTGGTCACACCAGCATTTAAAACAGTGAAAGTTTGCTGCAATTTCAACCAATTGCAATGGAATCGACCCGATTCGTAAATTAGCTAATGGGGCTGTGGTAAATCTGCGCAAATTTACACTTCCATTTTGGTGAACCTAGACCAACAAATTTGTGCCATTGACCAATAGCAAACCCTTTTGACAGTGCTGACCTTTGAGGGGAAGAGAGCCCAAGTGGCAGCGAGTACTGTCATTACGCCACCAAGACTCGGCTTAATTACCTCCAGGCTGTTGTTCTATTACTGATATTTGACAAAGACTGTTGCATGCAAGATGTAATATTATTCTATGTAACAGTCTCCATTGTTGCCTTCACCATCCTCTCTTCTTTTCTCTTTAGAATATGACACACCAACTGGTGTGACGGTTTGCACTTCAGCTCAAGGAAAACCTGCTATTTTTTAGTTCCAATTGGGAACCACTTTTTCAGGTTCCAAACCAACTTATTTTTGGTTGAAATGCTCCAAACAGCTCGAAATTAGGTGCTTGAGCTGGATCGTGTTGGTGGAACAGGGGTATTTCAGTTGTAACCAGGCCTTTAGGGTGCCACAATTCAGCAAGTTGATATTATAAGGCAACAATCAGTCTGAGCAGGAAGGTCCCTCAAGGTTCACATCAACTACTAAAATCTGGATCTTAAAAAAAGAGATAAAATGATCCTTTTTTTGAAGACCTTTAGTTTGATACCATCGCGGAAGATCTTTCTTGATACATCTGCAAAGATGTTGCTTAGTAAAAAAAAGCTGGTATTAAAAAATGAGTAAAAGTGCAAACACTGACACTGCTCTCTGAATTCACTTTGACCATAACAGAAGCACCAAAAGTTTTCTTCTTGGCCTTTTATTGCACCACTGGAGCTCAGGGTTCGTCGTCTTGTTCATAGCTAAAAAGAGGATTGCCCTCTCTTTTATGTGTATATATTTTAATGATAAATATCTCTTAATTTCCACACAGGCTTTGAAATTAGGGCGTTGCCTTCACTGCTTTCTGTCTTATAAAATGTCCACGCAGCAGACGCAATCATTCCATCCAAAGAGAACAGTTTAGTTTTCTGATTTTAAAGTTTGTTCAGGACTTTTATATTTTGAAATTCCTCAGGTTTCTATGTTGAGGTACTTCCTTATGAAGCCATTCCTGTGTTTAAAAGCAGCGTAGTGACAGGAGAGTGGGAGGTGAGATGTGGTAAGATTTGGACTCAGGACATTGTGAGCACATTTGCACCTTAACCTGCAAATTCACAAGCAGCACTGAAGCTTCCTGACTTCCTGTCACCTGCCCCTTCTTCTTATTGCATTATTTTCTGAATGTACCATTTGAAACCTCACTCCATGAATGTATCTGTTTATTACATGAATACACCAGAGATCTGCTTTAGTAGCGTAGCAAAGGAAGTTATTTTTTCATTTTGTTTTGTTGAGTCAGCAGAACGCCAAACAGGATGATCTCCCCAAAACTTTGTGCTCCTTCAATACCACAGCCAGGCCTGACGGTGTTTATCATGTTTCAGTTGTTGTGATTCTGAACTCTTCATTTTAACATTTCAGCTGCAGGCAGGCTGACCAGGCTCAGATCGTGTTGGTTCAGGGTTTCAATTGTGTCTTTTTGGTTTTCTTTGTCTAGATTCCTCCACACTCACATTGCACATGAACACCACACTGCTTTTATGTGAAGACATTTGAGACTGACAGACAGGTGAACCCCCTTTTTCCAAAACTCAATCAAATGAAGTGCATCGGAAGAGGGAAGGGCTGGGTATTGATGATCAGTACTGTTTCGGTACCATGGGAAATGTATCCTTGAATGACTCTTCTGTTCCGTAACCTGTTAATCAGCAGTAAAGCTGTCAGAGTTGGAGAATTTTCCTAAAACCTACCAAACTGTAGAGGTTGCTGAAATATGGCAATATTTCCTGAAATCTAAAAACTACAGACTTAGTACATTGGCAGCCATACTGATGATCATAAGGTGAAGCGATAACAGACTACGACAGGTCTGAACCACTCATGAATTCTGTTCGTACAGTCGTGTAAATTCTCTTAAATTACTTGTACGTGCCACTGAGGAATCATTCTGTTCATACGAGTTGTTCTTCCTTGAGGCCCAATGTCTTCCTCTCCTCTAAAGTAAAACCAGAAACTTTGTCTGGTTCTTCAGATATTCAGAGGGGAGCATTAGACGTTTAGCTCTGGAGTGAAGCACTTACGGATTTTGATCAGAATGGAGTGCTATGATTGGATGCAAAGTCCTACTGTTCAAAGTTACACTTTGAAGGATCTGAGAATGTTTCTGCGGGGGAAGCAACACAACTGGTAGCTCTGGTCCTTAGATCGGAACGCTTCGATAGGAAAACAGGGTTGTTGCCGAGGCTTGAGCGCCTGGCAACACTGTCCACTCTTCAGGTCCAGGAAGTCCCAGTCGCTGGTGGTGTTGCAAACGTCTTGAAGGATTTTTCTCAAATGTGTGCTCTTTGAAATCATTTGGTGTTCGGTGACCCCCGCCCTGAGGACACTGTGTGTCCTCTAATCTTTTTGAAATGCCTACTGGTCACCAGTTCTGTTGTATCCACACCAGTCATCATCTTCCAGTACTCACTGTAACTCTGGGTCCGGAGCATGAAGCCTCCCGGAGGATGAGAATCCAGGGATGCGATTTATTTTACATGTAAAGCCATGCTGTTAAATCTTTTTTTTTTTTTTCACAAAACTAATTTGGTCTGATCAGCTGAGATGATTGGAGACACTTCATGCTCACTGGCCAAAATATTTCTCAGTGTGGATCATGGAGTAGGCCGTGAGAAACTCAACCTGGATCAACGATTTCACCTTCTCTGACATCCATATAGTTCAAGCTAAATTTAAATGGGAATAAAATGGAGCCAAAAACCAAAATGTGACCAAGTCTCCATGTACCAGAACCAGTTCATTTTTAGGCTTGAAAGCAGAGCGAGCGTTTTGATCCACGTTCTGACCCCACCACGGTGTGACCCAGAGCTGTTGATTATACAATACATTATATATTGATGAATATATTGATTAGAAGCATTGTATAATCGGTGACTGTGCTGTGGGTGTTGTCTTGTATGTACAGTAGCAGTGTGATGCTACAGAGGTGCCTGGTTCACCAACCCCTGTTACAGTTTTTCAGTAAAAACGGCTAATGCTCAAAAGGTGTTTGTGACTGGGACTCTTATTTCTGTTCTCGGACTAACGTCTGTTTGCCACGCACAGACACTTTGCCATTCAATTGAAAATGTCCCTTTTGAAGTAATGCATACAACGAAATAAATGGTATTACGTTTTAGAAAAAACAACACTTTAATCGGCATATTCAGCATCATTACATTTGACCATTCTTGAGCAAATCAATGCTCAATCAAAATGTTTTGTGAAAGCTGCAGTAGGTACATTTGATAAAAATAACCTTTTGTCATATTTGCTGAAACTTTAACTTTATCCTGACAGTAGTTGAGAAACAGCCTCTAAAACTCTCCAATGATACAGTGACCACTATATAACAATCATGCATTGTAAGCTGTTCATTGCATTTATTCAGAAAATGACTTTCTAGCATTATAAGCAATCTTCCTTCAGAACAGTGATCACCAATAGCCTTTATCCCATTCAGAACCCAATTCTGTTCCAAACATTAAAGAAATCTTGTAATTACTCATAAATCAAATACAATGAAAAACAAATTAGTATATTAATATATAGTTTTAAGAGATATTTTTAAAACAAAAAAATCATTCAGTTTTCATGAATGGTCAACTCATAAATAAATGATGCTTTAAAATACATATATGCATTTTATTATTTTATTATTTTATTAAACTTTTCCAAAAATCAGTAGGTTCTACGATGATTCTCAGGAGGGGCTTGATCCCTAGGTTGGAAACCACTGAATGAAACTACTGAACTAGCTCCACCTCCAGCAGCTCCAACAGTAAAATCCTGCAGCCTTCTACAGAGGCCATTTGGAGTACTAACTTTGATACTTTAAGTACTTTTTGCTGATAATACTTTTGTACTTTTACTTAATAAATATTTTGAATGTAGGACTTTGAGCAGGTGTTTTTACATTAATGTATCGGTACTTTTACTGAAGTAAAGTAATTTCCCCCTGGGATTATTAAAGTATTTCTGATTCTGATTCTGATCTGAGTATTGCTTCCACCACTGGATGTAAGATGGGGAAGCTGGTAGAAACCTAAAAAGAACTGCTGCCAGTGGAGCTACAGAGTAATGAAGAGGGCTTCTATGATGAGGTAATAGTGTTTGTGATGCTTCTTGTACATACAGTATATTTTGAAGATTTTCAATGTGTCATTTTAATGTGGGTGTGTATGAATCATACAGGGCAGGAAATGGGCTCTCAGTAGCTAGGGTAAATTGTTATGCCAATTTATTTTGTAGTGTGTAGCAGAATAAATGCTTAAATGCCTTAAATTATATTAAAAAATGGGTGTAATATGATGAAAATCTTCAAAACTAAAACACAATGCACACAAACTGGAGTTGTCTGAATGCTTTGAGAAGCCACTTTACCCTTTTATTTGTATTCATTTTTTAAAACTATAATGCAACCCAACCAACTCAGAACAGACATGGGTCAACACCTCTCTGAGTATAATGAAAGTTTCACAATGTCAGAATTTATTACAACGATGGGACTACAGAGTGCTGGTGTTCATGTCATTTTACCCACCTCCTGAATTTTTCAATATGTACACACATTAGTAGATTACATAGTGATGACATTCATTTGAAAACATTTTGGACAATGGAATTATATACTTATAACCATTACATCACTTATCTGTACATACATCCCGAATCTATTTGGACCTCTACAGACAGGCTGTGAGGTAGGTTCATCAGTATTATCCTCATGTAAACACACAATGATAATGGCTCACTGCAGAGGTTGAGGCCTTGTGTTTGCAGTAGCTGCTGGTGACCATCAGGGGGAGCTGTTGGAGCATTTTGTGGGCTGTTTGAACATTGCAGTAGGTGAGTGTATTGATTACCTGAACAACTGAAGTAAAAAGTGATTGTGGATTGCTGGTGTCACCATCGCGTCGTCCTGTTATTATTATTATTATTATTATTATTATTATTATTATTATTGTGTTTTTTAATTAATCTCAATCAATGTGTTAAATTTGACAGCATTTGACATTTGGTGCATTTGGTTTGGACCCCTGTAGATCAGCCCCTGCTAGCATAATCAAAGCACACTGTGAATGTATTCACTGTTTATATACTGTATGTTTCCCACTGTACTTACTCACAGTACTCTGCACTTCTCAGATTTCAGCTGAACTGCAATTAGTTGTTTCAGTACCTGGAGTATAAGAAGTATAAAGCTGAATCTAATATAATGGTCAGTGGTTAACGGAGCTCTCTCTCTCTCTCTCTCTCTCTCTCTCTCTCTCCTACTCACTCACTCACTCACTCACTCACACACACACACACACACACACACACACACCTCCCTCCCTCCCTCCCGTCATTTGCAACCCTCCCTCCGCCCTCCAGCCAGTAGCGGCCGCCGCCGCTGGCTGTGAAATGTAACCGGACCCTGGAGCGACATGAACGGGCCTCAGCTCAGTGAACTCCCGGATGACTCGGAGCAGCTCGGCCCGGTTGTTGACGACCTGCGGCGGAGAGCCCTGGAGGCCAGCGAGCTGTCCGCTGTTCTGACGTTCTCCGACGGCTTTCTCATCAAGTTTCTGCGGGCCAGAGACTTCGACGTGGAGCTCTCTCTGAAGGTGAGTTAACACCCTCCAGGAGTTCTCAACAAATCCCTCCAGCAGCCTGACAGCTCACAGTCAGTGCGAGGGACTGCTGCACTTTAATGGAAGTTTATGGAGCTGTTTTTAGACAGCAGTGTATTTCTCTGTGGCATCACTAGAAGTGCATTAGTGCCTTTTCTTACTTATCTATAAGTCAACAGCTTTAATTTGTTGCTACGTTACAAATTAAATTACAGTTTTACATTAAACAATATAATGAACTTCTATAGTGTAATGCATTGTCATAGATTAACCCAGCAGTATATAAAATGCTTCAACGTTATATATGGAATTCACTCACTAGATGTGGCACTACAACACCAGACTCCATTGACAAAACCAGCAATTTAACTTAGCAGATAATCATAAAAACCGTTTCAAACTGGATGCAAACAAAACTCACCAGAACTGTCCACAGTCTCTCCAACAATCACCAGCTCTGGTTAGGTTGAAATAAAGCCTCAGTTCACAGAGTTAGATGAGAAGATATGGTCTGTGTAACGCTAGCTAAACCTGGTCAAAGTACTCAGGCTCAGATTGTTTTTCAACATTATGGAAAGGATCTCTGCAGAGACAGACCTTTTGTTTAACCGCAAGCAGCCGTAATGTCGCTATCCCTTGCCACCAGACTCCATAGACAAAAATGTAAATGTGATCTTGTATATCATCGTAATTATGGAAACAAACCACAGAGAGGCTGCGATAGCAACATAGGCAGAGGGAGAGAGACACCATGACTCCACTGTATCTTTACATAGCTAATAGTTTGATTGATTTGACTGATTTAATCACAGACAATCACATATATCAATATTTGAAAATCCCCCAAATCAATTCAACCGATCAGTTAAATGTATTGTCCTCCAATGTCCACATCACTGCACCATACCAACACCATACACTCAACACACCATCCACAATTAACAAATCCACAAAGAAAAACAAACAAACAATCAAATGAATAATACATGACAGGTTACACACTCAGCGCGGCCCTTTGTGTAGAGCAGCAATAGCTGCAGGGATCAGGCTTTTTCCGTAGTGAACTTTCTTGCACCTCAGTGTTCGAAGATGTTTGAACTCAAAAGCATCAGTGAAGCATTGGATAGAAATATAGAGTATTTTTGCTGTATTATTACTGCAATATACTTTAAAATGTATTGTAAAATCACTAGGCAGTGTCAGCGTCCACACACAGCTCTTGTCAAACATGTTGAATTCAGAGCTCAGCATGAAGGCTGAGTTGCTTATTTTCATCTGAATGCAGCCGGAGCTCAGCCAAGTGGGTCTAAGCTCAGCACTGTGCTAGTGACGCAAAACAAACAGACTGGCTCTGACTTTTACCACTCACATGGTTCTTTGAATGTGCTTTTATTACTGTACTTTCATTTCCTGTTTGATCTCCAGCAGCAGGAACATTTACTATGAGGGCGTGGCACAGATTACTTTAGATTAGATTCAAGTTTATAAAACCATTTAATCTGTGATAGAATGGTCTTGGAGGCTTGTAGCACATTGTTTTCTTTAATGCCCCGGCATTTCAGCTGCAGTCACAGGTGATGATAGATAAAGTAGAGTCCTATGAAGTTGCGGATGTCCCTGAGCGTTGCATATGTCCTGTGCAGCTCTTACTGAACTACCAGCGGTGGCGGAGGGAGAGTCCCGAGATCAGCACCTGTCTGTCTCCCTCTTCAGTGCTCGGCCTCCTCAACACGTCGTACCATGCTGTCCTCCCACAGCGGGACCACACGGGCAGCAGTGTGCTCATCTACAGGATAGGTCAGTATACGTGTGTGTGTGTGTGTATGGTCATTGAAAGCGTGCAAACATCTGAAACCTTGTAAAGATTAAGAATTGTTTGATGATGTAATGCTGCATTGAACAGATGTGTGCCTGTTTTTGTTTGTTTGTTAAGCTTTATAACGCCACATGTAAATAGGGATGGATGGGTATCATTGGGATTTACTGATACCAACATTGATACTGATACTTATCGAGACTCCATACATTTTGTATTATGATTTTTTTTGCACATTGACCTACAAGACCATCAGATATTTCTATCTAGTTAGCAAAACTCTTGCTTACTAGCTACCTAATCTACATCGATTGTTAGCTAGCTAGTTAGCTGGTGCTGCTATTTTCTAGAGATATGGCTCCTAAATACATTTCATCAGACCTGTTCAGTGTTCCCCCACTTGTTTCACCTTCCTCGTTTTCAATTTTTTTTAATTTCCTTGTTAAACCAGGTAGTCCACTCCCTCGTTATACTCACCACTAAACTGTTTCGAAAGGGCCCGAACGATGTGACCCCCCTGCCGGCCGTTAATGTTTAACACAAAACTTGCAGTTGATATACTGATACTAGCCAGTGTGGTTTGTGTGTTGCCACATAGTAGTGCTTTACTTGAAGTTTACTTGAAGCCTGTTTAGTCAATTTTAAAGAACCTGTGTGTAGGATTTAGCGACACCTAGTGGTGAAGTTGCATATTACATCCAAATGAATACAGCTCAGCCTTCCAAGCGTGTAGGCGAAACTACGGTGGCCGCTACAAACGCAAAATCCCCTATCTAGTGCCAATGTTTGGTTTGTCCGTTCTGATCTAATGGTGGTTCAACATGGTGGACGTAGAAGACGAAATAGGAAAAGGGAAAATAACTAACTCTGATAACACAACCTGCTCAGCACCAACTGGCAAACAGAAACAATTAGACTAGCTGGTGAGTTAAAAGGAGAGTGGATATTGGACTTACAGTGGCAAGAAAAAGTATGTGAACCTTTTGGAATTTCATTGTTTTCTGAATAAATTTGTCATCAAATGTGATCTGATCTTCGTCTAAGTCAAGGGTATTGACAAACATAATGTGTCTAAAAATAACACAAAAAATTCTGATCTTTCATGTCTTTATTGAACACACTCATTCAACATTCAAAATGGCAGTGGAAAAAGTAGTGCTGTCAGACGATTAAAATATTAATAAATTAATTAAAATAATCGCGATTAATCGCAGTAATGTCATAGTCAACTCGCAATTAATGGCACATTTTTATCTATTCTAAATGTCTTGATTTCTTTTTGTCCCATTATTTTTTCTCATTTTAATGCTCTTATCAACATAGAAAAGTGGATCGGCTTGCTTTGTGCAAATGTTGTTTTTATTGAAAAATCATCCATTGTAGCCTGGCTTTGACGAGGGGATGGAGAATTCGCATCAGCTGTGTGTTTGGCCATCAAGTGGTATTTCAGGCTGGACGTGCTGTGATGATAGCTCAGTTCACAACGACAAAACACACAGATCACTTTGGTCTTGTCAATGGAACCATTTGGCAACTTTTTAAAAGTAAACTTTCCATTCAGAATATTATTGGCATCCATTTCGGCGTCTCGCGCTCGCCATCCACTCAAAACGTAACGTCTACTACTCTTAAACAAGTGTGTGCGGCGTGCCTCTTGTTTTGTTTCCGGTCTAGCTAGATCCGGTGTGGTGTTGTAGTTTTTCTAACGTTACTATTTGTTGCAACAGCATGTGAAAAAAAGAATGTTAATCTCACGATAAAAAAAAATTGACGCCGTTAAAATGGGTTTGCCTTAACGCCATTAATAACGTGTAAGTGAACCCTTAGAATTAATAACTGGTTGACCCCCCCCTTGGCAGCAATAACCTCAACCAGGTGCTTCCTGTTGCTGTGGATCAGACCTGCACATCGTTGAGGAGGAATTTTAGCCCATTCTTCCTGGCAGAACTGCTTTAGCTCTGTCATATTCTTTGGACGTCTCATGTGTATGGCCCTCTTCAAGTCAATCCATAGCATCTCTATTGGGTTGAGGTCTGGGCTCTGACTTGGCCACTCCAAAAGGCATTTTTTTTTCCTGAAGCCATTCTATTGTGGACTTGCTCCGGTGTTTTGGGGCGTTAGGGTCCTCTGAAAGCTCTTTTTGGTGTGGCATGGCTCACATAAGCGTGTTATTCTTGTGCAGAGCAAACTCCAAAAGTTTGAGGGGTTTTTATCAAAGTAGCTGTAGTCCACACCTCCAAACTTATTATCTTAACGAGACTCCAGGTGTGCCAAAACCTGACTCCAATTTTTATTTTTGAGGTCAAGGGTTCACATACTTTTTCCACAGGCACTATGGGGTTTTTTTGGTTGTTCTCAATAAAGCAAGAAAGATCAAAAAAATGTTGTGTTATTATTTTAGACACATTTTATTTGTCAATGCCCTTGACTTAGATGAAGATCAGATCCCATTTTAGGAAAAAGTTATTCAGAAAACCATGAAATTCCAAAAGGTTCACATACTTGCTCCAAATGATTAATACGACTGGATAGAGGTTGCCCATTCATTAAAATGAGGTGTGCTTGCCCAGTGCATAAGTCAAAAAAGCTTTTTCTGTTCCTGGTTTGCCTGGCTGACTGCACATGTGCTTTAGTGTTTCATTCCATAGACTTTACATTGGGATGACGTCAAGTCTACAAACATATCTCCTCTAGGCACTGGGAAGACCTTAATGGTTTTAAACAACATATTAATACAAACAGTCCTGACATATCACTTTGGGGAAGTCCTGCTATTGTGCATGTTGGTTCACTGTTACTGTTACTGCAATATTTAATGGAACTTGCAAGCTAGCAAAGGCTGTGGTAAAGAAACTGTTGTAATGAGAACCACCGATGTTAGTACACAGTATGTTTTTATATTGTTGCAGCGTGAGGGGGCGTGGTTATTCTTAGGGTGGCTCCAGTACGTCATTGAGCCATTCTTTCAGCCCGCCCAAAAAATCCTGAACTCAAAAACGGTAAAAAAAGAGAAAAACAGTCCACACTTAGTACCACATAATTCCCAGTCTTTTATAACACATATGATGTGTTTTTTTAAAGCAGCTTTAAGGCCTAATGTTTCATAGTAGATGAAAGGAAATCTCCCACTATAGATAATCACGGCATAGGTTTTGATTTGTAGTTCAGCGTCAGAAAATGATGTCACTCTCCCTCTGCCTGTGTTGTTATCGCAGCCTCTCTGTGGTTTGTTTCCATAGCCAGTCTGCTCCCTGTGCAGCTGAGTAAAACGACTGAAACTGCTGTTTTCATCATCTACGTCTGTGAATCGAGGATTTATTTCTACCAAAGCAGAGTTGGTGATTGTTGGAAAGACTAACAAAGACTGTTGTGGTTAGTTTTATTTAGTTGTCTGTCCACTTTGAATGAAGTTACGATGTTACACTGATATGCAAGGTAAAATTACTGTTTTTTTCTATGGAGTCTGATGGAGAGTGATAGTGATATTCCCGCTGTTTCTGATTAAACAAAAGGTCTGTCTCTGTGGGAATCCTTTCCTTAATGACCATAAGACTCTATGCATAACCATCTGTTAGTGGCAAAAAGAATTTAAATGTTTTGTTTCATTAACATTTGTCCCCGAGGATTAGCTAACGTTACGTGGCTTGTTTCTTGGCTATTTTCTCATCTAAGTTTGTGAAGTTGGTGATTGGTGGAAATACAAACAAAGCGGTTTTGGTAAATTTTCTTTTGTTTCTGTCCAGTTGGAAGTGTGTTTAACGATTATCTGCTAGGTTTTGTTTATGGAGTCTGGTAGGCCGTAGCGCCCATTGTTTTGGTCTCAGAGGCTGGTGTTCTAGTACATCATCTAGTGGCAAATTTTGTATACGTATATAACCTTTAAATGTTTATTTTGTAGTCTATGAAAGTACAGAAACATGACCCTGACCGTCTGTCTGCAGGGCAGTGGAACCCAAAAGACTGGTCGGCTTTCCAGGTGTTCAGGGTCAGCCTGATGACATCAGAGATCATCTCCACGGAGACAGAGACACAGAGGCGGGGTCTGAAGGCCATATTTGACCTGCAGGGGTGGACTATAGGCCACGCAATGCAGATTAACCCTTCCCTCGCCAGAAAGATATCCTCTGTACTTTCGGTAGGACTGCAATCACACTTCTGGATTTACTGTAAATACAAATTCTACTATGGGCTTTAATATGCACTGTGCTCTGCTTCATATGGGTCTTCAGCCACAATAACATTTTTACTGCTATGCAGATGACGACCAACACATAAACAGGTAACAGGTTTTAGCAAAAAACTTGAGTGTTCAACTGACCACATTATGACAGTATGTTACACCATAGGCAGGAAATTCTCATATAAGGAACATAGCTAAAACAACACATCATTAGGGTCAAACCCTTTCTTCCTTTAAGACATACACAGATCAGCCACAACATTAAGACTACCTGGGCACCCTCGTGGGTCATATGTTGGTACACCACTGCAGACTGGGAACACCCCACAAGAGCTGCAGTGTTGGAGATCTGACCCAGTCGTCTAGCCATCACAATTTGGCCCTTGTCAAAGTCTCTGAAATCCTCAGGATGCCCATTTTTCCAGCTTTCAACACATCAACGTTGAGGACAAAATGTTTGCTTGCTGCCTGATATACCCCACCCACTGACAGGAGCCATGATAACCAGATAATCAGTGTTATTCACTTCACCAGTCAGTGCTCATGATGTTATGGCTGATCGGTGAATATTTGATGTGCGTGCATGCAGCCGCTAAAGCCAGCAGCCAACCCCAGCTTATCTTAGACCAACTCAAAGTTAGTTGGAGGCCTTGCATTGCTCTCGGCATCATCATTTATTGTTGGCAAAAATCAACACCATTTGTTATAATACCTACAATAAGTTAGTAACATATATCACATGAGCTGGTGATGTAAATTTTGCAAGCTAACATTAGCCAACTAACATATCCATAGTATTTCGCTAGTGATAATGTTAGCGAATAAGCAAGCTAAGGTTAGCCTGCAACCAGCCATGCTAATTGATGTGATCTGGCATTGGCAGCCCTGCAACGCCAACCAACAAAGTAACCCTGCAAATGGCAAGCCAGTCAGTTTACATGTCAAACCAGCCCCAGGAGTATGTGTGAAGCTAGGTGACAGTATTTTCTATATTAACTAGCTAGGAATTCATCCAAATTAACAAGAAAGCTAACGTTAACCAGCTAAAACCACCATATCACAATATATTTCATAAGCTTTGCAGTAATGTTAGCTTTGACTTTGGACTCTGTGTTGTGGTGGGTGTTTGGTGAGAGTAGCGGACTCCATCTTTAAGCTAACATTAGCTAGTGTTGCTCAGTGTTGAAGGTGGATAAACGTCAAACCTGCATCCCTACAAGGAAACACATAACACAAAGCACATTTTTCAAGTAACATTACAACTCGTTCATTTTTGCTGAATGCCTTGTAGTCACTGATAGTAAAAACTGAATATAGAATATATGGATTGAAACATTTGTGACTTAATTTTTACAGGGTTAGCTTAATTTGTTGTGCATGGGTTGATTGTTTTATAGACCTGATTGGCTGACCAATTAGTTGGCTTGCTTAATTAGCTTTCACACCTTTCCTTGTATGTGTGTGTTCAGGACTCTTTTCCACTGAAAGTTAGAGGGATCCATCTGGTCAATGAGCCGATGTTCTTCCGGCCAGTCTTCGCGATGATTCGTCCCTTCCTTCCAGATAAGATCAAACAGAGGGTCAGCAGCCTGTTTATCACACACTCATTATACTATACCAGTCTCTGTTCTCTGCTTTGCATATAAATACACAGTGGTTATGCCTTTAAACAGTTTTAAAATCAAGTTCCCTCTCTCCCCACTGTAGATCCATATGCATGGTGCTGACTTCCACGACTCTTTAAGTGACTTTTTCTCACTGCCTGTCCTGCCTCCAGAATATGGAGGAGAGGGGCCTGACATAGAAAAGGCGTGTCAGGACTGGACCAATAAGCTGCTTCAATCAGAGAGGCTCCTGCAGCAGATTGCCGCCCACCCAACAGGTGACATCGCCATTGCTCCTGATGACTCCTTGATCTCAGAGGAAGCGGAGACTGAACAACGCTCAGATGGATGACTGTTGGAATTTTGGGTCACACATACACACGGTTGTTTTCTACTTTGGATCAACCAAACACACTCTCTGGCGGCCATTGTGTTGGTTCTTAACTCAGATGTTGGCTGCATCAAGAGAGCTATCTGTGCTGCTTTGAAGCATTTCATCACTGGACTTGGTGTCAAACCCAGATTAGTCTAAGCTAACTTACAGTTAGTCGGATGCCCCTGCCTTGCATCGCTCTTGGCTAGTAGAAAGCTATTGTCAGCTCTAACGTAATGTTACATCATTTATTGTTGGCTAAAATCAACACCATTTGTCATAATACATAGGTCATCATTATATATCACAGCTGGGGAAGTTACTTTGCAAGCTAACAAAATATCAACTCATTTTGCTAGCGCTAACGTTAGTGAGCAAGCAAGCTAAGATTAGCCAACCAGCCAGCTGCTGGAATTTGTGTTTACATGTTAGCTAATTGTATTCCAGGTTACATTGATCATTGAAATTGAAGATTTTTGCACCTGATAACTTATGTGCACATATTTGCTTTCTTTCCAAGAGTGACAATAATGTCAATATCAGTGTCCTGTCTGGGCATTAAGTGCTCAGTTTGAGTCCGGACGTAGTTAGCATAGCTTAGGACAAAGAGTGGAAATAGGTGGAAACAGCTAGCGTGGCTCTGAAAGTGAAGCTTACTAAAGCAAAAGTTTACATGTAACAGGTTTTATCTTGTTTGTTTAGCCTATACTCAAAAAGAAATGTAAAAACGTTCATTTGTGAATTCAGCATAAGTTGCGAGACGCGCTGCATAGAAGTGCTGGGTGGATTGTTTAAACTGCTGCGTGTCAAGAAATAGTTCTAGCATGTAATTACCGGTAAAACCACAAATTGTTTTTACATTTCTGTTAATATACGACTTAAACAAACAAGATAGACTGCAAATAATACAACTTTTAAGGTGTTTTTTTTCTACTTACGAAAAGGCAGGCTATTTGTTTCCCTCCATTTTTTACGCTACGCTAGGCTAACCACATAGTGATTGCAGTTCCGTAAGCACAGACGTAAGTATTTCCCACAATTTTGAACTTTTTTATTATAATTAATCATTTTTAATTCACATATTGTTAGTTTGCTATATCTACTAGCTGAACAGTTTGTTCAGGTCAGTTGAGGAGTAGAGACTGGATTTGAAGGCAGTTTACTGTGTCACCTCCACTTGGAAACAAACCTACCTTATTGCGTCTTTTAGGTATGTATGAATGTCTGTTTTTCAGGGATATCTCTAGTGTAGTTGTTCTATAGTTAGAAATTGATAAAACCAGCCAATTATCCAGTGGACCTCAGGGATGGATTGCCCGGTGGAGATTTGTGTATCAGCTGCAGTCTTCAACCAGAGGACTCGAAACAAACAACCATGTTACTGTGAAATCCTGATAACTCAATCTAAGAGTCACTGTGAGAGTTTGATGCTTTGTAAAAACACCTGGAAGTCAAACAGTTGCCCCACCAGTGAGTGTTCATTTCACTGAAGACATCAAGGCACACTGCAGATGAGCAGGAAAGCTGCCTTCCTTCCAGCTTATCACTCCATACAGGAATTCAGACCAATCCACCCAGTTGTCTATTTGTCCATGGTTGATCATTTGAACTTTGGTCTTCATTTAAGCAATTGACAAGTTTTCCTTTTTTGTTTTTTTTTTTATGTTTTTTACATGAAACCTATGTTGGGACCAATATTATACACATATCCAATACACACAGGTATTTTAAAAATGTGAATTTGCTGTACACACTGAGTTTATAATTATTTTTATTAATTGTTGTAAAACCTATAATAGGTTCACAATATGAATTTGCCCCTTTGTCCCTTTAAAAAAGGAAAATGAATGTATTTCTGTGGTGCCTTAGCACATAAAAATGATATTGATTTTAAAGTTACATAAAGGATGTTCTCATGTGGTTATACCTTAGACCTATACAATATGATTGATTATTTTTCTTAATTAGAAATCTACATCTTATTAATGCAAACTTTTTTGTATTTATTAGAAGGATAATATTTATACAAGTATTCATCCGTCCATATTCTTGTATGAGTAAACATGCAACATTTGTGCACATTAATGGGTCAATAAAAGGAAAGGCTCAAAATGGTGTCAATAAATAGTGTGTAGGAACATCTCTTGTACACAGGCTCCAGTTCATTTTCATGTCTGTTTTACGTGAAGCACCCAGTACATATACCCCTTTTCCACCAAGGCAGTTTAAGGGCTGTTTTAGAGCTGGTGCCTAATCTCGAACCAGTTCTTGGCTTTTGGCCAGGAGAACTGCTTCCAGCCTGGCAAAAGTTTGCTGGTAGAAGCAAGAACTGCTTACATCAGGGTCTGGGGGTACCTTGTGGCCAGCCAGCTATGTATTTATTTGATGTTTATTTGCATCTACTATCACATCAATGTTAGAAATGTAACATAGATACAAATGTATGTTGTCAGGTGACTAACAGCTAGCTTGCTAGCCTAACCTTGGTAACAACAGCTAATGTCGGAGATGTATTACAGTGACGTAATGACGTGGCTCGGTGGATGGGGCTGGTGCTGGTTCAGAATTTGTTCAATTTCAGAACCTTCTAAGAACCGGTTTGCTTTTCCATGACCAAGAGAGCAGAGCCATGTCATTATGTCACTGTATACTTATCCAACATTAGCCAGTTACCAAGGTTATGCTAGCTGCCTAGCTAGCTGTTGTTCAACTAACATTACCCGAGCATCATATCATTAATTTCTCAAACATCAATGTTGGAGGTAACATTAAAGTTACAAACTAAATGTTGATTTGGGAAATGAATAGCTTGCTAAACAGCTAGTAAATATATAACTAGCTGGGCCCTTGCAGCCCCTGTCATAAGCAGTCATTGGTTCTAGACCAGCGACGTGTTGGCTGGAACCAGCTGCGAAGAACTGATTGGAAATGAAGGCACTCAAACCAGCCCTCAAACTGCCTCGGTGGAAAAGAGGTATGGGTGAACCGACTCTGAATCAGCACTCGCACCAAAACAAAAAAGTTAAAAGAGGCTAAAAAGCTCTTTCAGAAGTTGGGTGATTATTCTTTGTTGGTTTGTCAGTATGATAGACACCTTTCACATTACATTAAGCAGTATTTGAAAGTAACTTAAGTATTGTATTGACCCACTACTTGTACTTTACTTGAGTATACCTTATACGTATACTCTGCTACTTTTCGGTGCAGTTAGGGGTTCATTTGCGTATTAATATTTTGTCCAGAAAATTAAAACAACAAAATTTGAAGTGGGTAGAAGCTAGCTGTAACATTAAAATGCAGCTTACATGTTAGTGAATTGATAATAATTAACCAACAGTACAATATATAATAAACACTGACAGAGCCTTTACTAAACTTTTACTTTTACTTTTATACTAAATGTTTCAAATAATACTTTCATACTTTTATTCAGAAAAAGAGTTTGAATGCTGGGCATTCACTTGTAACAGAGTGTTTTAACAATGTTTTATTGCTACTTGTACTTAAAAACATTTTTTGATACATCTTCTACCAGCTATAGTATATCAGCTTTATTAAAACTTTCCTGACCTTTTAGTCTCACTGTCCCTCCTCTGTCTGTTGCTCTCATTGTGCACTCTCACTGTACAGACCTTTGATCAGTGTTAGCAGGTCAGTAAACATGTCTATCAGGCCTGCTCAGTCTAGTACACATTAAATGCCTGGGGTCAAACCACAGCACAGCAAGTACAACTATAGTTCACTTTTGACAAGATTTATATATAGAGAGAGAGACAGATACACAATATAAGTATTTCTTCCTCCACTGCATACAGTATTCTCTACACAGTATTGGAAAGCTAGAAGCTAAATATGGCCTTGGTTTGTACACACTGCAGGCTGTGACCTCCCCGCTTGTGCTCTCTCTAAACTCTGCTATAATAACTGGGACTACAGAAAACTGAGCTTATTTTCCAAATATGAGTAGATTTGAAGATTGTAGTTTGTGTGCAGTTGATAAAGGCCAAACAATAAGGGGGTCAGCTATAGTGATGCTGTGATTGAAGAGATAACAACACTTCTATTGTAAATGTACTCTGGACTGTATGTGGACTGAGAAACTTCACCAAGCTTATTTTGACTATTGTGAAATCCACAGTCCGTTTCCTACTTTTCCAAACTTACTGAGGTGCCTGTGTGTTGTTCACTACCTGTCAACAGACTGAAAATCACGTGTCCCTATCATTGCAGAAACACATCTTCCATCATCTTTCCAACCACTAACTTCCCCTAAAGGCAATATTGCAATAGAGTTTGGTTGACATTACACCACCTTCAATGCGTACACAGCTCCCTGAAATAGGTGAAATGCAACTTTTCTGTGTTTGAACAGCATGGTGACCAAGTGCACACCCAAACAGTTAATCATTAGAAACACATTTCACTTTGGTTGTTTACAGGCATTGCTGATCTGTGTAGACTTGTTTCAGTCATAAGTGCCATGCATAAGGTATTATTATAACCAGAGCACTTGCAAGACTTGTCTGGTCTCTGCACTGTATCACATCACATTTAGAGAGAGACTCAATTTTCACCCTTTTACATGTGACAAATTCACATAGGTACATGTGATTTTTGGATTATTCATATATAATAAATTCACATGCACTGGAATAATTGCACAAAAATACAGAAAGATCCAAGGTGGTGATACATTTGTATACGGACAGATACGTCCATATGCAGATTACAGACTGGATCTTTGACAGATTTTATTTTTATATTATGTTATATGATATAATATGATATGATATACAGATCTGGATACAGATCCATAAACTTGTATATCATTGGCTCTTTACGGATACAGGTCCTTTTTGTCCAGTGATGATATAAGCACGTATGATTTTCTGATATTTGGAACGTCAAATGGAAGATATCTTATGCGGAAACAACTGCACATATCATGTCACATACACAAGTACAAGCTATTCATTTTAATTTAAAGTTTAATTTCCACGGTTGTTGTATAATTTGGGTACACGTACATCATTTGAGCGGAGTGCTTTTATAGACTGGAAGAGGTTTGATTTGTCACTATTGTCTGCTGATGTGATGCAAATTGACTTGATGAAATCTACAAGTTAATCAACAGTTTCCTGTGTTCTTTCCACACTGTTCCTCTTAAGGGCATCCAGCATTGACACTCACTGAGTTTCCTGCAGTGTGTTACAAGAAGCTGTACACAAAATATTTGATGTACCAAACATATTTTAATACAATTGGCATACTTTAGTGCTCCCATGTTCTTTATTGCCATTTGAATGCATGTATTAAGTATTGTTACAAAGCAATACATTTACAGTGTTTATAGATTAACAGCAGGTCCCTTCCGTGCAGCTCAGAGAGATTTTTGAGGTTAACAAATATTGCTACACAGGAGCAATTAGCATTAGTGTGGCATGAAGCGAGGTTACCAGGGAATGCATTTGGATTTGATTGTTATTTAAAATAGTGATTTACTGTAGTTCACAGTACCATTTTGGCTTTATTGAGGGAAGATGTCAGTGTAGTATTTTTCTGTGTTATTAATCATTATAGGAACCCCCGAAGTAGTCCTGTAAATCCTCACTGCAGACATTTGAGCAGGGATTAATAGCACAGCGGAAAATCCACTGAATTCGTCTTCATTATCTCCAAAAAAACAGGTCCAATCATGTTTCTTTGGAAGATCAGATCAATGTTCTCTTTACAGAGAATATCATGCACACTTTTATATTATTGTGGACTGGACTGTTCTAACACCTCGTTTGCCTGAGATGCAGCTCAACTCGAGATTGCGCAGAACTCTGCAGCCACTAAACTTCTCACGAAGACCAAACGCTCTTCTCACATTACCACAGTTTTAGCCTCTTTGCACTGGTTATCAAATTCTTTTAGAATCCATTTTGCTCTGGACATTAGGCTTTACATGGCCAGGCATCACTCTTACTGTCCAAAAAGACCTCTCAGATCTGCTGGTTTCAGCCTGCTATCTGCTATCAGTCCAGGTTAAAGTCAAAGGGCCATCAGGCGTTTGCTGTACTGGCACCTCAGTTTTGGAAAAATCTTCCAGTTATTATATACTTGATGTTACCTTTATTTTAATAGTTATTTAATACTTGGTCTTTTTTCAATATTTTAATCATAATGTGTGAGGCTATCAGTTCATCTCTGTTGCCCTGCTGTCTGCACCCTCTGCATCAGAAGCTGAATTCATTCAAGTTCGTTCAGCAGATATTTTGACTTGTCAAACACAGGTGTAAGTGATAACAGAATGGTAAAGATAACCACATGTTCTTTTGCCATTGCCACAAGACCATAAAGTACTTGTCTGAAATAGTGGGGCCCCCCCAGACTGACCGGGCCCCTGTTGGATCTGTGGAGATCCTTGCGGCATCCTCCACTGCCTATACAGCAGCCTCTCCTCCAGTCTGATGGATAAATGTGTGTGGACAACCAGAGAGAACAGCCATAGGCTACAGTTACACCAGTGCTGCTGCAGTATGAATGAACCAGGTCAGAGTCCAGGCTGTCCTGAAAGAGTGGATGTGAGCGTGCTCTGTCAGCAGAGAGCGCAAGAGAGCTGCAGAACAGAGTGAGCCTGCAGCTGCTGCACAGTCACTATGGTAGAGAACACAGAAAAAACATGCACACTTACAAATATACTGTATATATAAATGAATAAAAAAATTCTCATTTCAGATGTTTTGTTTATTGTAGTCTTAATAAAATGGGCAGTTTGGACTAAAACTTTGGAGCAGCTGTTGGGGTACATGCCCTATACAACAGAAGTGTTGGGATGGGTGTAAGAGTAATGGTGATTCAGACAGTATGAGCACCCGCAAGTAAAACTCCCTGGCATCCATAGCACAGCTGGCTGGCAGTACAGTCTACTATAGGCAGGAATATATCTGGAATATATCAAATCTCTGGTTGCATGTACGTCTTGTAAAATGCTTCCTTTCATTATACATTCTTGTGTCAGGAAGGAAACTGCAGAGCAGGAACAGGAGAGGTCAAAGCATTTAAGCATCAAAGCTATGGACCTTCATTTGATAACAGTCTGCCGGACCCTCAACTGTAACAGTAGGAGCCCATTGACACAGCACTGTGATTCAG